TATCATAAAAGGGCGTTGGATCTTGTCAAATGCTTTTTCTGCATCTACTGAGATAATCATGTGGTTCTTACCCTTGCTCCTGATGATGTGTATGTTGAACCAGCTTTGCACCCTGAAATGAATCCTGTTTGATCATGGTGTAGGATTTTTTGGAGGAATTGTTGAAGTTGTTTGGTCAAAATTTTCTTAAGAAGATTTGCATTAATGTTCATCAAAGAAATTGGTCTATAGTTCTCTTTCTTTGATGAGTCCCTGCCTGGTTTTGGGATGAGTTTTCTGATGGCTTCATAGAATGAGTTCGGTTGAGAACTTTCTCTTTCAATTTCATTGATGAGTTGACGGAGCATTGGTGTGAGCTCCGCTTTTAATGCTTTGTAGAATTCCACTGTATATCCATCTGGTCTTGGGATTTCATTAGATCGGAGGTCTCTAATTGCTGTTTCTATTTCAATACTTGATATGGGCCTGTTAAGATGGTTTAACTCATCTTGGTTTAGTTTTAGAATGTCGATATTTGCTAGAAAATTGTCCATTTCTGCCAAGTTCTCAAACTTATTAGCATAAAGTTTTGAAAAGTATTCCCTTATAATGTTCTGAATCTTGGTTGTTTCTGTGATGATGTTTCCATTCTCATCTCTGAGTTTATTTACTTGGGAGTGTTCTCTTCTTTTTCTGATAAGATTTGCTAGGATCTGCCAATTTTGTTGATGTTTTCGAAGAACCAACCCTTTGTTTTATTGATTATTTCTCTTTTTTAAAAAATTCTAATTCATTTAATTCTGAATAACTTTTAATTATATCTTTCTGTCTACTGGTTTGGGTTTTATTTTGCTGCTCTTTTTCAATGAGGCTCAGATGCCTGATTCAATTGTTGGTTTCAGATCTCCCCTGAGTGCTGCCTTTGCTGTGTCCCAGAGGAGCTGGTAGTTTGTATGTTCATTTTTGTTGACTATCCTGAAGATTTGAATTTCCATTCTAATCTCTTCCATGACCCACTCGTGATTTAACATTGTGTTGTTCATCCACCATGTGTTATAGGACTTTGTTGGCTTTTGGTGTTGAGTTCTATTTTTATTTCCTTGTGGTCTGAGAGTGTATAAGGTAAAAGTTCAATAATTTTGAATTTGGGGAAGTTTCCTTTTTCGTCTAAAATGTAGTCTATTTTGAAAAATGTTCAATGTGCTGTTGAGAAAAATGTGTATTCTGATAATGTTCTGTGAAATAATCAGTAGATGTCTGTTAAATCTTGTTGATCTATGCAGTTGTTTAGATCTGTGGTTTCTCTGTTCAGGTTTTGCTGAGTTGATCTATCTAGTGGGGAAAGTGGTGTGTTAAAATCCCCAAAAATTAATGTCTTTGGATCTGTGTGAGAATTGAGGGAAGTAGTGTATCTTGGATTAATTTAGGTGCTCCATTGTTTGGCGAATAGATATTTAGAATTGTAACATTCTCCTGAAGGAGAGATCTCTTAATTAGTATGTAGCGACCTTCTTTATCTCTTCTTACTAATTTTAATTTGAAGTGTATTTTACCTGACATTAGGACTGCAACTGCCACCGGTTTATGGGGGCCATTTGTTGGTAGATTTTGTTCCAGCCTTTCACATTGAAAATGTGTGTGTCTTTATGGGCAAGTTGTGACTCCTGAAAGCAGCAGATAGAAGGAGGTTGCTTTTTAATCCAAGTAGACAGTTTATGTCCTTCAATTGCATAGGTAAGGCCGTTAATGGTAAGAGATAGGATTGAGAGGTATTTGGGAGTTGCAGCCATTTTATTCACCTTCTTTGGGGCTGCGGTAACTAGGTTCTTCCTATGGTTCTTGGATTCTCAGTTTGGGTGTAGTTTGGGTGTAGTTGCTTGGCCTTTATTGTGGTCTTGTTGGTTTTCTATGAATCTTTCGAGGGTTGGTTTGGTGGAGATACATTGTTTCAACTTTTCTTTGCTATGGAACTTTGCTATGGAGCTTCGGTTATGAAGGAGAGTTTAGCTGGGTACAGTATTCTTGGTTGATAAATGTTTGACTTTAGGGCATGGCATACATCATTCCAGGTTCTTCTGGCATTAATTTTCTCGGATAAGAAATCTGAGGAGATTCTAATTGGTTTCCCTTTATAAGTGATTGATCTTTTCTCCTTGACAGCTTTAAGGATCTTTTCCTTGGTCTGAATTGATCCTCTACGGATTATAATGTGATGGAGGGATGTCCTGTTCTGGTCTGGACTATTTGGAGTTCTAAAAGCTTCTTGTATCTGAATAGGCCTATATTTTCATGTTTGGGAATTTCTTTGCTAGGATCCTCTTAAACAATTTCCTACACGATTAACTTCTGTTTCTAGGTGCTCCTCTCCACGCATTATCCTCAGATTAGGCCTTCTGATGGTGTCTGCCAAGTGTTGAATATATCTATCATATTTCTTGGATTTGTCTTGGATGGTTGTATGTTTTTTCTCTATAATATCTAGGCTGTCTTCAATTCCTGAGATTTGATCTTCTGCATGGTGTAACCTACTATCAAGACTTCCTACTTTGTTTTTATTCATTTTTCTTCTAATTGGTTGTCTTTGATGACTTCAGATTCTTTGTTGGAGCTTTGTTTTAGATCTCATATGAGCTTCTTTACTTCCTTAATTTGGTGTTCGGTGTTTATTCTCAAATCACTTAATTAATGGTTATGGTTTCCTTGGACTCCCAGTCCTACTTTTGGGTTCTGTTCAGCATTCCCATTCTGATCTCCCTGATTTCTTTCAGCTCTCTGTTTATGGATTCCATGAATGTCTTTAGTGATTTTTCTGTATTCTCATCCCACTCTGTCAATTCCTGTATTACTCTTTGTTTAGTTTCCTCACGTTCACGTGATTCCTGTAGCTCTATTTGAGTGTCCTCAACATGCTCACGCAATACCTTTTTTTCTCTTTGAGTATTGTCGAGCTGCTCACACAATTCTTGTATCAATCTTCGAATAGCTTCCTCACACTCATGATATTCCTCTATTGACCTATGGTTTGCCTCCTCTCTCTCCCTATAAAGCTCATAGAGAGTCCTTTGCAGGTTTTCAAACTTTTCATTTACCCTGTTTACCAGTAGTGTTTGTAGAGCTTTTGGGACTTCTCCTATGGGTTATTCATTATTTGTTCTATCCCCTAATTATCATGAGTGGGAGTTGAGATACCTGGACTTGCCATTTTTCTTGTGTTTTTCGGCTTACTCTGCCCATTTGGGATGAAAGTAACACCAGATTTGTGCTAGAACACAATCTTCAGGTAAGCATCAACTAAAGTCTGTAGTTGTACAGTCAAAAGTCTGCTGATAAACTCTAGTTGAACAGATATATTTTTCAACATCAAACAACTATATATTAATGGGATATGAACAGCAAAGGAGAATTTAGCAAACCAGAAATTATTAGGTTTAGGGAGAGATGTGGATAAAAATAGGAATAGTAGGATGTAGAAAGGCAGAGAGTGAGTTAACTTAACTAAGTCATAATCTGAAAGTGGGAAAAAGGTTTGATAGAACGATAGCAGAAGGAGAGAAAAAAGAGAAAGATAAAAAAGAGACGAAAAAATAGAAAGACAAATCTTAAAAATTAAAAAGTTAAACACTTAAGAACTTAAAAATTATACAAATTTAACAATGTATTATTCATAGAAGTATTTGGATAGGATAAGGTAATAGGAATAGAAAGGAGACACGAAACACTTAAAAATAAAAATGCTTAAAATATATAGATATAAAGAAGTAGTACTGCTATTAAAGAATTTAAGTCTAAAAGGTTTTGAATTGAGTAATAAATTCTGGATTAGGTAAGTAAATAATGAGGGACAAGTTCTAATAATCGAATATGGGTATATATGAGGATTAGCAGAATAGCAATTAAGTTATGCAAAGAAGAACAAAAGAGAAGAAAAGGTGAAAAGAATGAGAAGGAAAGAAAAAAAGTGGATCAAAAGATAACTAGAACTAAACAAAAAAGTTTAAAAAAAGAAAAAGAACAAAAAAAGAAAAAAAGAAAAAAGAGCACACACTTATACCCCTAAAATAAAAATTATAAGAGGAAGAAAAAATTAATAGAAAACAATTTTTAAAGTTAAAAATTAAAAATTTAAGAAAAGTTTTAGAAAAAAAACATTTTTATAAAAGGTTCAAAAAATTCTTTGATTATTTTGGTGGGGGAGATCCTGTATCTCCCTTGTGTCCGTAACCAGTCTCTAGTAGGAGTATCTGGTATGCTTGTGGTGTTTGATTTTCCTGTGGCTTAGTTGGTTTCTTAAGTCGGTTAGTTTGATCAGGCAGAAAAATGCTCTGCTTTGCCCAGGATTTTGTGATCCTCCTCCCAAGCTAGTTCAATGGGAAGAAGATCTGGTTTGAGTATCAAAAAAGAGGGAGATGGCTGTTTCCTCTAGTTTGGAGATGCTGTGATGAGGCTAGGTTCTGGGTAGAGTTGAGACCTTTCAGCAAAAAGTAGTTTTTCTCTGAGGGGCTAGCTTCTGACACACTCACAGAGACCCTCCTGGAGCCATTCTCAGGATTTATGTTTTCTGAATTTCAATTGATTGTCAAGGCTGCTGTAGGCGGGGGAAGCCTCTGGCTCTGTTTACCCAGTGAAGAAACCCACTCCTGGGGCTGTCGGCCTGAGCTGGGTGACTTTTCCCTGGGTTGAGCTGAGCCTGGCAGGTCAGGGTAAGGTTCTGTGACCTGCTAAATGACTCTTGTTTTCTTCCAAGGCCTGAGTTGGAGCTAGCTGCTCAGCCAGGCCTTTGTCAGTCTCAAAGAAGGAGATCTCTGGTAGTGTGGGAGGTGGGGTGGCTTCTTTCCTCTGCATCCTGAGAAGGATTGAGGATGTCAGGTTTCTACTCACGCCGAGTCGTGGTTCCTGGGTTGTCTCTGGTCTGCGAACTGCAGGAAGAAGATGTCTGCTCCTTGTCAGTTCTTGCTGATGTTGAGTAGAATCTGCTCGCCAGCCAATTCTGGTGCCTAAGTCCCAGACTCTCTGTGTTGCAGGTATGGTGGCTATGGCAGCCGCAGCAGCCTCTGCCACTGCCACCATAGTGGTGGCAGTTGGCAAGTGCTCAGATCTGTCTCCTTGCTTGGATTTTCCCTCTCTGGCCTAACTCTCTGTCCTGTGATGGCACACTTGGTGTGATTCTCTGGCCTAGGACTGTTCACTGGAACACTAAAATTGCTTTCTATGTGAAAGCTTGTTTAGCCTACAACTTCTCTGCCACCTTCCCAGAACTCTCCAACTACAATATTCTTTAAAAAATAGCGGAGTTATTTCTGATGCAATCAAGAGAGAAGTTTGTTATCAATGATGGAATTTGACAAAACAGTTGATATTTTATCTGAAAAGAAGAAAGAAGAAGAAGAAGAAGGAGGAGGAGGAGGAGATTGCAATGTAAGGAAAACACTGTAGTTTGTGAGGAAGGTGGCATGGTAGTCTACATAAATATACAAACATGTTTACAGGTTTACATATTTACATGTTTTCAGTATGTTAGTTTAACATGAAGTAAACCAATAAAGAAATAAAAAATCTTGTACATCTCAAACAAGTTTTACAGTTTAGGTGGTGGGGGGAGTGTAGTTGTGGAGATGTAAGGGAAGGGATGGTAGGAAAAAAACAAAGGAGGAGGCAACAATGTTTGATAAGAAATGTACTCATTACCTTGCTCATGACACTGTAACCCCTCTGTACAGTATTTTACCAATAAGAAAACATTTAAAAATAAAAAGATCTATGCAGGGAATTTGTAACTCAGTGGTAGAGTATTTGCCTATTATCTGTGAAGGATCATTGTTAAGTCAGGTTCAAAATGCATAACAGAACAAAAATTTAAAAAAATTATACACGAAGAACAATAATGCATATGGTTTGGGCCAAGTACGTGGTTTACTTCCAAAAAAGAACTAACAACATATGGTTTTGGTGGTATATACTTGGAAAACAAACATTCAGTCTTTGGGGGTTCAAGTGTTCAATGCCAGTCCGCTAAAAAAAAAGAGGAGGAGAGACATGACAGAAGAAAAAAATTAAACTTCATCTGGATTGTGGGAAGAAGTCTGTCAGCTGTATTTTTTTCTTTTAAATAAGTTTCTAGCCTGTCCACCATGTGAGTATGCAACAACAAGGGAGCACATTAAAGCCTTGGTGAAGTTGACCTCTCAGTAAATTGAATTTTCTGGGTTCTAGATCTGGTCCCTCAGAATTTCCTTTCAGTACAAATAACTTGCTCTAAGCTATTGGGAGCTGGTCTAAAGGAATTTTGTTACAGAATCACAATGGAATTGAAATGCACAGCTATACCTCTTTCTCTAAGGGAAGACTCATGGTTTTCTGCGCAGGGATTCTACCACAAATTCCCTACTGCAGCCCTTGTTCTTGATTTTGAACATATCAACACACAATCTTATGGATTTCAAGGATTCTGATAAGAAACTAACATGAAAAATGACGATGCTTTCTTTTATCTCACTCCTGTAGATGTTAATAACCTGTTTCATGGAAGTGTATGGAATAGGGCATTTTGCTACAGTATCAGATGATTCTGAAGTGATACCACTAATCTTTTGACATCAGTCATCCTAGATTCAAAGAAAAATACATTGAATATCTTGAGTAAATTGATGAGGTCTTTAAGAGCCAAGAGTTAGAGCAGCTTTTTCGATTATGGATGCTATGAAGTACCTTACTGGATTTAAATTCCAAGTGAGAAAACAGCCACTTCCATGACCCACCTAAGTATAAAACTTTCTTGGTCTTAGTTTCTTCGCATTTTAATGGAAATGACAAAATTGCCAACCTATTGACTTTATAAGGGGACAGCCTTACATAATTAAATAGTTTTCAAAATTCACTGAGTTGAATAGAGAACATGCCTAATTTGTATTAAAGTAGTAATGCATTGCCATTAATACACTGATGTGTTTTATCAGTAAATATTGAAAAGAAAAAATAGTTTCTACAGAGGATTCATCCTGGCAATAGTCACTTTAAGGTAGGCTGATACTACCTGCCTTCTTTCAACCACATGCTATTGTTGAATATGATATTGTTTTAGTTCTACTCTAAAGCTCTTGGACTCGTCTAGGATTCCATTTAGAAGACACCAAAGTGCATACGGATAATACAACTTTTTAAAGACCAGAAATGATTTATTTTACGGTGCCAACAATAAAAACTCCATAACAAATAAAGATTTTAAGCTTATTTTAAGCAGTTGTGCAAGAGAGTTATAATTCAACAAATAGGGACACCTGCTGTGCCTTAACTAGTTTGAATTTTCCATTTATTGTCAAGTTAAAAAAATCTGTATCCACTTTAGTGAAAGTTTCCAATTGGATACTTTGTCATGTGCCCCATGCACCTAGAAATACATGGGAATCAATTTTGTTTTTAGATTGTTGGAGCAAGTTCCAAGACCTGCACAAATAGTGAATGTAAGCCACTGACTGGTGTATGTTTGACTCCTGCACATGGCCAGAGTTCTAGCAGGAGCAGACATGAGGACATGGATACTACTCAAGGATAAAATCTTTAAGAGCAAATGCTAGGACCTGGAAGCCACCATGAAAAGAATACACTTTCTGAGGCACTTGAAATTCCAGCAACACTGTCATGGCAGCAGCAGTGGCATCACTCTGTGCACCTCACGTCCCTGTGGGAATCTTGGCTGCAGTCCTCCAGGCTCAAGACCAAAAATCCAGTGGGTTCATGCCAAACTGTGATTGGTCCATTGCAGCCATTGTGAGTAGTCTCTGCAGTCCATGACAGTGCTGGGAGTTCCTGGTGACCTACTATATTCAGTGCTACGTTGACAATTTTGAGTGTTTTTTTTGGAGGGGGGCTATGTTTTCTTTGAGTTTGGCTATTTACTTTTGTTTATTGCTCTGGGGTTTTTATTTTCTTAGCTAAGTTTAGGTAGATTTACTCCTTGCCATCTTAGCAGAAAGATAGAAGAACATAGTGAATTATCCTCAAGCTCTTCAGAGAAGGAGATTTTCACTGAACAAGACAGTATGGAGGAGATAATTGGCTATGGCAGGAGGAGATTTTCCCTGAACAATACAGTGTGAAGGAGGAGATCATTGACTATGGTAGCTATGGATATGTAAAGTTGGCCTAGCACCACCTCATAGACACTGAGATGATAGTAAAAGTAATCCTGAAGGGAGAGTTCAACAATTTTCAGATTAAAAATGAGATGGAGAGGCTGTGAAGGTGGCTCAGTGTTAGATGTTTGCCTTGCATGCATGAGGCCTGAGTTCATTTCCTCAGCACCACATAAACAGCAAAAGCCAGAAGTGATGCTGTAGCTCAAGTGGTAGAGTGCTAGCCTTAAGCTGAAGAGCTCAGTTACAGTGCCCAGGCCCAGATATCAAGCTCCAGGACCCACAAAAATATTTTAAATGAGATGGACATTATTAAGATTTTCTATCACCCACACATGATCAGGTCATACCAGGTGAGGGAGAAGGATGAGCACCTATACCTTGCAGTGGAACTGGAAATCCAGAGACCTTCTAACATAAATGTGAAAATCTTACCACTTATTCAAGAATGAAGTCAGATGATTGTTCAGACAGATTTTGAGGACTGTGCATTACTTTAACGAATATAGAAATGAACACTGAGACATTAAACCCAACAACATCGTGTTGGATGACAAAGGCAATGTGAAGGTCAATGATTTTGGTATAAGCATAAGGATTTCCCCAGAAGGACATATTCCGTATATTAATTTTGTCCCTATAAAATATTTCTGCATGAAAATTACAGTGGGTACAAAGTGGACATCTGGTGCTTGAGAGTCTCATTTATATTCTATGAGGATAGCAAATTTTCCATTTGAATATATGAATTTTAGCCAGATACAGGTAATTGTCTTGGACGTCACATATATTTCTCCATTCACCTGTACCCAAAGAAACAAAATATCATATTGAAACTGTAAACTGCAGACCCAAAGCAGAGGCACAGTATAGAAAAAAATGGAGATTGGCTCAACCAAGTTGAGGAATGTTTCTTATGTCCTGATGAGTCAATATGTAATGCACTAATCCCTATTATTCTTGCACTCATGTGTGACATGAGGTACAGCCTGCCTGGTATTAACAAAATGATATTGGACAGGACATTAAAAGAAATCATGGTCATCTATTTTTTATTTAAAAAAATGCCAAAGCAGAATGACAGCACTGAAATTAAATAATTGCCTTCTATTTTGTCAGTGTGCCCATCTCCTGCAGATATATAGTATGTATATATGTATATATCTCACAAATATATTACATATTAAATATATTACATATAATTATATGTGAATAAATATGTATAATTTTGGAGATGCAGTTTCATGGAATTCTCTGCTTTTGCTTCAAGCCAACATTCTCCTCATCTGAGCCTCCTTAGGAGCTGGTATTATAGACCAGAACCAGGCAAAAGATTTCCTAATGAATGCAGCAGAGTGCCTGTCTTTAACTTACAAGAAATACTAGAAACTTGAAGAGAGTAGAATGTAACAAATATCACTTAACAGTGTAAAATTTCCAAAATTGATTTTATACAATAATTAGGTGACACTGTTATTCGATTTTTCCTTGAAAAAAGATTAATAAAAAATTAAAGACAGATATAGATATCAGTTGGAAGTGTGAAAGTAAGTGGAAGGCCCATAAGTTCAAGTCCTAATACTAACCCATAACCATACACTAAATTAATTTTTGTACTTCTTTTATTGTAAAAATACTGTATAGAGGGGTTACAGTTAAATGTACAAGATAACGAGTACATTTCCTACCAAGCATTGTTGCCTCCTCCTTTGTTTTTCTCCACCATCCCTTCCCTCCCACCTCCACAACTACTCCACCTACCTCTGAAGTTGAAAAGTTCGTTTTTAACGTAGTGTCTTGTACATCGCATTTTTACAATGGGTCAACCTGTATATCTATTTAAGCATTTTCTGTTTTCCCTTAACATCCCAAATTAGAGAAGTGTATATACAAGATGCAAGGCACCAGAATCAAATACAGTGAATACAGGGGTTTTACTCTGCGGGAGGAACCTACAACGCAACAAAAATCACATGGTACCTTATAAATACATTAGAAAAAATAGCAAGAAAGGAAAAACCACTTGTGTCCCTATCTTGGGGTTCATTTCACTTAACTTCATCGTATCTGATCACATGTACATAGATTTGGAATTTTTCTGCTTGTCCTAGTCATGTACTAGTTATTGTAAATAAGCTATACCATGGGACCTGTTTCTTTGGGCATGACTTACTTGACTTGACATATTTTTTCCAAGTCTTTCCATTTCCTAAGAAATTGGAAGATATCATTCTTTCTGATGAAGACATAGAATTCATATATGTATATATGTGCATATATATCATATTTTCTTGATCCATTCATCTACTGAGGGGCATCTGGATTGGTTCCATATCTTAGCTATGTTAAATTATGCTGCAATAAACATACTTGTGCTGGTAACTTTAGTATGATCATTTGTGTAAATGCCCGAAAGTGGGATTGCTGGATCATAGGGGAACTCTATGTAGAGACTTTTGAGGAACCTCCATACTGCTTTCAAATGTGGCTGAACAAGTTTTACACTCCCACCAACAATGCAGTAGGGTTTCCTTTGGTTTCCTTTTGGCCATATCCCCTCCAGCATCTGTTGGTGTAAGTTTGAATCTCAATGTTGTATTGATTTGCATTTCTTTTAGGGCTGGAGAAGTTGAACATTTCTTCATGAACATTTCTTCATGTGTCTATTGGCCATTGTTATTTACTCTTCAGAGAAGTTTCACTTTTATCAGGTAGTTCTGATTTGTTGTTGGGGGATTTCATTTTTTGAGTTCCAAGCATATTTTAGATATGAAACCCTTGTCTGTTGTATGGCTAGAGAAGACCTTCTCCTAATCCATAGGATTTCTATTGATTTTGCTAGCTATGTCTTATGCCATGCAGAAGCTCTGAACTTTCATGCAATCGCAAGCATTCTTTGAAGTTGTGTTTCTGGGTCTCTATTAAGAACATTTCGACCTGTGCCAAGGAGACCTAGGGTTTCTCCTATTTCTTCCAGTAATGTTTTTAAGGTATCCGTTTGACTCTGAGGTTGACAATTAATTTTTTAGGCCAGTACTTGTTTTCTTTTCCATCTTTTGTGTTCAGAGGGGTGTGTGTATTTTGTGTAAACAGGCTGCTCTACAAGGAATCATTCCAGGTAATATAGTAGTTATTAAATGGCTCTATGTAAGTATTTTGTAATGACATAGAGCTTTCTAATGACTTACTTACATAAATCTATTAATGTTAATTATCATGAAGAATGTCAAACCTCTATTTTTGTGCCCATCTCCATCCTTGTTCTCCGTATTGTCTAGCAGTTTATATCACAGTCAGCATAACTGAAGCTGGCGCATGGAACAGACATGTACTTGTTGCATCCTGGCTGTGAGATGGCCCCAAATACAGCAAATATCAGAATCAATGAGATAGAAGTAATTGTCCCAGGTGCCTAGTTGTATGAATGTCCTCAGCTTCCAATGGTCTCACTTGCTTCTGTCAGAAGCATGGTGATGGTCTGTCACCATCAAAATTCACACTGAAGCTTAACTTCTCAATGTAGCAATATAAGGAGGTGGAACTTTTAAGAGAAGTTTCAGTCATAAATGGATTAATGCCATCTCATCAATTCTGAAGGGACTAACAGTGTCACTGTTAAGTTTTTGAAATCAACCTATGCCCCTTACTCCTTGTCATTCTAGCACATGCCATGATGCGGAGATGCTCTGTGATATGATGCACCTAGGGGAACTTATCCCATGTGCTATCATGTGATTTAGACTTTCCAGCCACTGCTAATGCGAATGAAATAGACCTTTTATTCCTTATGAAGTATACAGCTTCAATTATTTTGTTAAATGACCAAATGAACTTAGATGCTATTCTTTTTATGTTTTCATGGAACTGAGGATTAAACTGAGGGCCTTACACTTACTAGGCAGATATGGTACCAGTTGAGCCTGCATGCTCCCAACCCTTTTTATTTTTTAGTTTGCTTTTCATATAGGGTCTTGTGCTAACTCCAATCAAGCCACCCTCAGTACCCAATCCTCCTATACTTCTATATCCCAATATCTGGATTTACAGGCCTGTGACACCACAGTTTGCCCCTTAGAATATGCAATTCTTTTGGGGAAAGAGATACAGACTCCTGAGATGCTTATGTGGTTTTGTTTATGTGTGTGTGTGTGTGTGTGTGTGTGTGTGTGTGTGTGCATATTCACAGGAACTGTTCTTTGAACTGTTCTTTGTGATTTACTTATCACTGAGGGTGAGTATTCCTAAAGAATCTGTATTATTAAAAAAGAAATGCTTCTTTTCGTGCAAGTGGTTCTCAACTATATTCTTAGCTCTTCAGAATGCTGAGATTTGGGGATAACATTGTTAAGCCAGGTGAGCCAGGAAAAGTACATGACACTCTTTTCTCCAATTAATCACCAAAAAAGTCAAAAATAGAGCTCTGGCTTAAGTAATATAGTAGTATTCTTGAGCACAAATATAGGAATAGCAACTAGAGTCTTATTAAGGCTCAGAACCAGTACCCGTACAAAATCTCCAGCTAGCACTTGTGCTATTACAATGAGCTATTGTGCTATAAAAAGTCACCATTATATCTAATGGATAATCTCTACAGGAGAATTGCAGTAAAAAACTCTTGCATTTCTTCATAAGATA